GACGAGAAAAAAAAAATGATGTATGGTGTAGCGATTTCTAAAAATAGATTCGTTAGTAATCGATCGAAGAAGGTGCTAGTCACACGTGTGTATAAAAAATTAGTTAAACTCTTTTTATAATCAAGATATCCGATTTTCGATTAGAAAGCGTAATCTGAAAGCTTTCAGGATGAGTGTTCTAGCGAGATAAATCTTATAGAAATCCAATAGTGGAATTTTGGTTAGTAACCTACAAAAGCTATATATTTATCAATTTATTTGAATATATACCCATCAGTTGGGTTTGCCTTTCTTAGTGTTAATTTTATTATGATTTGTGAAGCCTCAAATTACGATATAGAGTTAATTTTATATATATAACATTCAGGCATATATTCAAAATTTCTATTACATGACCCAACTTTTAGGTATCGTATCAATTTAAGGTCCGGGCAGTTGAAAAGTTGATTCATTATCATTAGGATAAAAAGTCCTAATTATTGATTTTATTCTCCTAGACGTTTCTCCCAATTTTTCCCAAATCGATAAACCCTAATCGAGGCAGAGCGTGGCCCTCCCTGTTGGGCGATGGCGACTCTTCTGCGTCGCTAGCCGTACCCAAGACGTCTTTGGTTAGGCTGCGTCTCCGACCAGCTCACAGTCACTGACACCGAGTGGATTTCATCCTTCTGTCTAGATGCCATGGCAATGGAGATGGATGTCGGTTCGGGGTGGAGCCCAGGGTTTGGGTTGGGTGCTGCACGCGGCTGTCGTCTTGAGGCTGGGGCTTCGGGCTCCTCGATTTGGTTTCTTCCGTTGGTGGTGGTCTTTGGGCTACTACGATCGGCTGATGTGGCGGGGAGGGCATTGGTTTCGATCTCCAAGAGCTATCCAGGGTGTTCTTTCAGGGAAGGTTCAGGTCCGTAGGTCCAGGTCGAGTCAACCGTAGGGGAAGTTTCTCGACCCGTATGTTTGGGTAGTGGACTGGGTCTCTTCTGTTTGTTGCCTGAGTGTTGGTCAAGGTGCGTAGGTACGGGGTGCTTTTCGGTTGGCGGGGAGGGTGTTATTCTAGTAGTAGTTTTTGTGTTTTTATTTTTGTTGTGTGTTTTAATTGTGTTATTGTTGGGGTTAGAGGCTTGTTTTGCTTGTTCTAGTGTCGGTTCTAGGTGACCTCAGAGTTTGTCTTCCCACTATATAGTCGCTTCAGTCAGTTGTTTGGTTGTCTCTAGATGTACATGTTTATTCTGCGGTTTTGCTATGGAGCTATCGGATGACTCGACTTATGGATCCATCCATAGTCATTCACAAATGATGTATTGACATGTGTCCTGCAATAAATGCATATTGGATATGTGTCAGTACATAAAGTAATGGATGGCTCCATAAGGAAGCCATCCGATGACTCCATAAAATTTATGGTTTGTTTTATTTATAAAAGTCAATCATTCCGAAAAAAAAAAAATCATTTTATGGTCTGAATTTTATTTTTTCTCAATAGAATGTTTACCTTTCAGGTTATTCTCAATTTAAGACTCACTTTTTTATTTAACTTTCTCAATATAAGGTCCAATTAACTTTAGTTTTTTACATAAATTTGTGAACCATAATATTATTTTTAATCTATATTTTACACATTTATGACAAAAATATTAACTATATTTGACAATTAACATAAATGAGGAAATTAATCCACATAAGTTATATTTATGCAAAGGTTTAATAAATTTTATTTTCAAAAAACAATAAGATAATTAAAAAATATATAGCTTAAATATTGTTTTAATTAATAATCTAAATAGTAATAAAACTAAGAAATAATATTTAAATACAATTTCCCATTTTCATTTTTTATTAGCAGTTAATTTTCAAGTTTCATTACATATCTTCATTTTATTGTTTATAAATCATTTTTTAGTTTTCTATTTTTATTACATATCTTGATTTATTTCTCAGTTTTATTACATATTTAAATTATTAAAAAATAAAATTTCAATTATATATTTCCAAATTTATTTATCAAGTTTTGAAAATAATCTTTATTAAAATTTTGTATAAATGTAATTAAATATATTCATTTTCTTTATAGTAATTTTACTAAAGATATTTATTATTTTCTATTGTAAATATGTAAAAGATAAACCGCGAGAAAAATAATATTTTCCTTCACATAATTAAAATATAAAATAAATTATTTGGTTCATATATTTATGTCAAAAAGTTAAGATAATAGGATCTTTTATTGAGAAGCTATAAAAAAGTGAGAATAACCTAAAATGTAAAAATTAAGAAAAAAATATAACCCAGGACTTATATTGATAAAATTTCAGAAAGTTAGCCTTGCTATGGAATTTCTCCATACACAACCAATTTTGTACATACATACAACCTACTAAATTTAGCACTGATTTCAACATGGCCTCTTTGTGCAGGCAAAGTATGGACTATAATACTCTTCAAAGATACACTACAAGGAGAAATTGAACACCATTGCTAAATCACCATTGTTTTAGCAGTACTTTGCACATCTCTCATTGAAAAACCAGATGCCAATTCAAGAATCGGTGGATTTGCTCGCTCTCCCTCCAGAAAACAGTAGGTAGGGGCTTGCCAATTGGGATCTTCGAGCACTTTTCCTACCTCGAATGTCATCACATGTGTCGTCAAACCTGAAAATAAATTCACACCATTCCGTCAAACTTGGCCGCAACAAAAGCATGTGCATGCACCACAGCAGCAAGAAAATTCATGCAGCACCGTAATCAATACATTGTCAGAATCTTAAAACAGAGCTTGTTAACCAGGAGGCATTTGATCCAAAGACACTACAGATGACAAAACACAATCTAAAAAAGCCCACACATTCACACACATACACAAAATGGAACTCAACAAAATCACTTGCGCATCTCCTGAAGCGCGATACTTGGCGGACGAAAGCCCGGAAACTAATGAATTACACATAAAAATAAGGAGCCACGAAGATTTAAATTAGTTCATTTCCGGCTCAAAAAAATTCACTGAAACAACACTCAATCAGATGAAAAGCTGATAACCAGTCAAAACAGGAGGCATTTGTTCCAAAAACACAATAGATATGCAAAAAAACACCATCAACAAAGCCCACACTGAAACACACAGATACACACAAAAGACCAAACACAAAAAATTGGAACTCTAACAGAGGCACAATAGATGCAAAAATACCATCATAAAAAGCCCAGAAAACAGGTCTCTTGGTGGCCACATCTTCATAGTACCAAATGAAACCGACCTTCTCCCACACATTACAGAAAAACCCATCTTTACGCACCCGGCCCAGATAATTCGCCCCTTCGAGCCAGTTGGGCTGCAAAATCCCCACCGGAAAATGCATCGTCTCGCACTCCCTGTTATCGTCCAGCGTGTAGTAATAGGAGGTGCCGTTGTCCCACTCCAAATCGTAGAGCTTTTTCCCCAGCTGCTTCTGGATAATGTTGAAGTTCCGGCCGCGGGGGTAGTCGTACCAGAGGTCCGTCACTTGCAGGGCGCCGCTGGGGTTTTTTATGAAGAGGATCGAATGGAACTGGGGCGGCCACGGGGCGGGCGCCGGGTCAGGCGACCTGAGGAGAGGGACGAAGAGG